CCCAAAACCCCAAAACCCCAAAACCCCAAAACCCCGTTCTTCCAAAGTATTATTGAACCACACTTTAATCTTCCTTTTAAACTCTTTTTCAAATCCCCTCGAACTATAAAATTACCAAAAAGCTAAACATAATAATACCCCAATAAGATCCAATCATCAGAGTATCCTATTTTCTACAGTACAAAAACCCGTCCAAAGTACTGTCCCAGTCTAGGACCAGAACCTGGAAGAAGCCAGCGAATTTTAGAAGAAAGGAAGAAGAATTAGGACTAATCTTTCTTAAGCTTCTGTTTTTGTTGGTGCTTTCTGAGGTGTAGTAGGTTTGGAAGGAGGTAGTTTGTGACTTCAAATGCAAGCATTAAAATTGTTATCTTCAAGACAGTTATATCGTCATCTCTAGAATCCAGTAGAGAATTTCCAAGAACTTCAAAGCTATGATTTGTGATTTTATCAGAGCAAGTACTGACACTGACCTCAATAATATCACTCTCATAAAGATCAATATAGCTCACACAAAAGTAAGCAAAGACAATCTTGGTGAAATTAATGAGCATTGTCCATTCATTATTAATATTATCAAACCATTTGACCCATTTGCCTGATTTTCCCCTGAAGAAGAGTCTTTTAACCATATCTATTAAACTGACAACTCCAAAAACAAATGTTACTACCATATCAACAAGAGAGATTTGGCTGAAGACCGATTGCCAGGCAGCGACTGACTCAAAGATATCTATATTAACGAACGTTTCTTCTGGAGAAAGTACGCTATTATAACACTCAGAGTTCCATCTGACGTATGACTTCTGGTACAAGTTCATTGTTGATGCTTTTCCCCAGCCTCGCCCCCAATGAGCTTTTGGTGGCACCATCTCGTAATTACTTTCACTTGTGACAAATCTGTATCTCTCATCAAAAATAATGTTGTCTCCAAGAATAGTATTGCATCCAGATCTAGAGGTTCGGGTTAGAAGATTCTACACACAAATTTTGGGATATTTTAAGTGATGGATTCAAAGATATACAGACCTTAAGTCTGGAAAATATGCGATGGATTCAATAGATTTCTAAGCTATCAAAATGTGCTATTTTGACTCTAAGATTTGACTTGATTGAAAGCGAGGATTCACCTACTTATCACTTTTTGATAATTTGTTAAATTTTGAAGTTGTATGATATAGCTCCTCAGCATTAATACATGGAGATCCCTCTGTAAGCTTGAATTCAACAACTGGTAGATGGGAGCTACTTTTAGAGTAATAAAGCATATGAGTATCTGACAGGGAGATTCTATAAAGTCAGAGTAAAGTTTTACTTTTCATAGTTTTTCTTATCAAAAGATATTACTGAGTTATTTGTAATGACAATGTCTGTAATCGGACATTCAGAATTTTTGGGTACACATGTTGCGTAAATGCCATCCTTTTTAGTGGATCCTCACCTTTTAAGACCGGTATCACATTGTCCTTCAGTATCTGGAATATGAAGATCCAAAAAGTTCAATTTACTTCTTTTTCCTCAGAGAGTTGAGTTGTGTATCCAATTTAGCTGCCTTAGAGATGTTTGCTTTATTGTTTTGCAATTTTTCCTATGCTTTTTGGTATAAATAGTGAAAGATTTATATGGTACTTTAGATAAATTTTAATTGAAGCCAATATTACAAGAACTAAAACCAAAGATAGTATCAAATAAGTAATTTTTCTTAAGCTTTTCACAAAGTGTTATTCAAAATATCGCTCCATTTTTATAAATCGTCTCCTATAAAACCCTTGATCATAAATACCTTCTCTCTTTCATTGTTTAAGTAAACTAAAATTGCCGTAATATCTTTAAGCCTAACCAATTCCTACCCTATAAGGCCCATCCTTGCTAAAACCTCTCTTTTAAACCCTCTTGAAACTCACCAGGCTTATGCTACATGCTCCTACAGTGATCTTATCTTTCTTCGCCCCTTCACTCTTTCAAAATCACCCAGTGACTGACCCAGGCCACTCTGCTTCAAAAAGATGTTCGTAGCCATCTGGGCATAAATGCCCAGATGGTACACTGAAGATATCTGTGAGGAAAGGAGTCTGCCAGTTGTCGAATACATAGTCAATTTGGCTTTTGTTCGCACCTAACCTTTGGAATGCCTCCAGAGTGTATATGAAACTGCTGATACTGAAAAGGAGAGTGAAAGTGGAGGTGATGAATGAAGTCTGGGATTTTATTTGCATGTAATCTTTGTCTTGGAGAAGCTGCTCCATTTCTTTGTCAGGAATAATTCTTAAAGAGATATGATATAATTATTAAAAAACTAAACAAATAATTCAATTATTGACTTTAGCAGTGGGGTTTTGGGGTTTTGGGGTTTTGGGGTTTTGGGGTTTTGGGG